TTTAGTTGATATTCCTCTAATAGATTTAAGCATAACTCTTGAAATTCATGTAAAAATATTCATGAATCACCACATTTAAGTCTAGCTCCCCATCATATAAGGTACCTTTGACATCCACTATCACTAGTTGACACAACTTCATTTTAACAATTGCTTCGAGATCAAGATATATATGATTGTTTGGCAGAGAAAAATGATGTATTATAAGTGAGAAAAGGCAGAAAGAGAAAAGAATCCAAAGCATTGGTTGATAGCTCATGCTACGAAGTCAACATAAAAACATTTAAAATTAGACAAATATTAGAGTGAATGTCGAAAACTTGTTTGAACGGAGTTGATAAAAATAAGATAATTACTCTAGTGAAATACTTCAAGAATGAGAAAGTCATAAGTAAACAAATCAACCAATGATTACAATAAAAATAAAATTTTAGACTTTTTAGATCTTTCGAGTTAAACAATTTAGTTTGAATTTCTTTAATTTATATTGATCATAAATATAGTTCACCTTTCAAGCGACTTGAAGATACAAGCAGTTATGGTACGATACTTAAATGGAAGTTGGAACCATCCATAAGAATTTGAATGAGCCCAAATAATTCTTTAATGGCTTAGTCTTGATAAAAAACCTACACAAGGTACTATATTCTTGTAAAATAATATATTATCTAGTAAGCTAGCCATAAGAGATGAGGATGATTCGATTGAGATGAAGATTAGACATGTAATACAAAAGCTGAAGCAATTAAAATGTAGGCCTGCTCATTTAAAAATGAGCTAAATTGATTTGAAATGTGGTAGGTAAATTTGTCGCATATTTCTATTTGGATAATATAAGTCTCACGAAAAAAAAAAGTAACACAATCACTCGAATTGTGAATTGTTTCAAAGGTAGCCAGTCAGTGGTAAAGAAGCTGTGTCAATTCATCCATTCGTTTTGGTGTAAGAACTGTTTAAGATAATAAGTACCGAATGGAAAGTTTCAAAGGTAGCCTCTCAGTGGTAAAGAAGATGTGACAATTCATCAATTCGTATTAGTGTAAGGACTGCTTAAGATAATAAGTACTGAATGGAAAGTTTACAAAGACTAGCCTGACTTTCAGATCTTAGCGGTTGAGTTCAAAGCAGAAACATGATGAAAAATGATATCCACAAAAAATGGTGAAAACCAGGCGTATCATATAATAAATATAACGATACTTGAGTGCTATTTGTGAGGACCAACAATGACAACTAAATGTTCCCAGCAAAGACAATAAAGACTGATCAAAAACACAAAACTTCCATGGCTGTTTTGTAAGAATTTCCCTTCATTTGTAAAGAAATTTCAAGTTTATGAAAAATGTTTTGCTGTTTTGTAAGACAATATAGATGAGACAATGATAATACAATGGCAATAAGATTTCTTTTTCTTACACTAGGACCAAGCCAGACGCAATGTTTGAAGAAGGCATTCTACATTTGGTCATATTTTCTTTCATCGTGTTGTAGAGGATAAAAGAGACAAGCAGCTGTTAAAAGAATGAAAATGTTGGAATATCTGATAAGGTTGAACAGAGTGGTTTTATCATTGATGGCAGCTAGGGGGGAGTATCTCTACTGATATGGTGTTGAAGAATACTTAGGAGATACAGCTGAGATATGGTTGTCATCTAAGATCAAGGGAAATGTAAAGCAGGTGTCTCGCTTGAATAGGTGGAAAGCTCTAATGGAGATAGATAGAGATGTGCAATTTTCCCTTATTTGAAAAAAAATGCGAGACTCCTGCTCCTAGAAAATGAAGAAAATGTTTTTCTCCAAGAAAATGCATATTCATGAATCATGAAATAGTCCCTCGCATCATCTCCATCTTTTCTTTTCCAGGCAAAAATTATCCTCCCATACATCCTTTTGGATACATTTTATACAGGTAAAGTGATATTCATAACAAAGTAACATTGTTGGATGTTATAATAACAATGGCTCGACCATTTAAATTTTCTAAGTCCTAAAAGTTAATTTTAAGATTAATTAATGTTTAACTGATAATTTTTAAAATGAAAAGCATTAGTATTTTTCTAATGCCATTATTAATAAAAGAATCATGATCAGATTGATGCATCTCTTCATCAAGTTGAATCCTTTCAAAACTAATCAACTCAAATAGAGCCAAATCAGATGCTAAATGTGGACAAGTGAAGCCAGAATTGGATACCAAAAAGGGGACAGGAACCAATTAGTTATGGGTAAGGGGGTTTTGGAGTTGACATTTCTGCCATGTTTTATAAACAACTCAAAATTAGTTAGAAAGCAGCAACATCTCAAATTGACATGCCCATCTAAAGAGATTGAGATTTTAGAACTGAACTCTAATCGTGAAATTGAATAAGTCAGAATTTAAGATTGGTAGGGTGTTATCTTTGCTCGAATGAAATTTTACTATTCGAGTTTCAAATGAGTAGATTGGACATGTTTGACTAGAGGCCCAGATGTTGAAATACCATGTAGAAGAGTGAATTCAAGCGGGACTCAATTGTTTAACTGGATTTGCCTCAGCACTATTTGACTTAATTCTCTTAACAACTACGGATCTAGATTTAAAATTTGACACCTAAAGTACAACATGGGACCAATTTTAATTAGTAGACTTCAATGTTAAATGATCATGTATAATGGAAGGATTCAGCTGCAAATTTGTTGTCAGAGGGTTTGGCTTAGTATCACTTTTCCTTGTTCTTTTGACAGCAGATGACCATAATTCAGGATTTGATGCCAAATATATGGGACAAGATTGGTATTTCTAACTATGTAGAATGTTTGAGAAAAGATTAGTAATTTGTAGCTTCTGCTTGATTTGGGAAAAGAAAAGATTTTTTTTTCCATTTTCAAGCTTTAGGGTATGTATGATCATGCAATTCTATGTATTGTCTAAATATATTAAGCATGAAATGCTATTAGGGCTTCGGTGCGCTACATGAAATTGAAAGAATCATGATCACTTTGGGACTATTGGTTTGCCATAAAATTAATGCAGTGTAAAATGAATGTAATATAAAAGTAATGTATTGTATTTGAAATACTTTGAAGTTGTTTGGTTCACTGTAAAATAAACATAGAACTTCATATTTTTTTATTTGATTTTATGTAGATTGACAACTATTTATTTTTCAATATATACGACATTATTGGTGGGTAGTGGGCGGCGATAGCAAATGAAGACAACGGTGACGGCACCGGCACCGGCGACGACGACCAATGGCGGCATCGACAGGCAGCTGCCGCGACAGAAAGGCAATTGGCAACAACTGGCGAAGGATGCGACTATGGCGAGTGGCAATTACCTATTGTGGTGGCGACCTGCGGCAAACCGTAGATGCCACTAACAGCGAACGATGAGTGGCAAAAGGCGGCTACAACTAATGACGGCAACAACAAGCGATGGCAACGATGCAAGAACATCGATCAACAGCGATAGTGACAGAAGAATGGTGACAAGAGGTGGGGGGCGACGAAGGCCGGCAGGGGGACACAACGACTGACAATGGTGGGCAGAGACCGACAGAGGCGACTAAAGGCGGCGGTCAGCAGGCGGCAGATGGCGGCGGCTGGTAGGTGGAGATGGCTACGAATGAAAGGCGGCAAATGGCTGCGGCTGGAAGGGGGCTAACAACTGTGGCGGGTAGTGGGGTAACTGATAACATTTTACACTAAAGAACGGCGTAAATTTCAATTTCAACCAAATCGATCAAATTCTAAATTCAATCAAAGAACTATGATGTAAACTTCAAATTCATTTATATTTTACATTGTATTTGTAATACTTCATACCTAACACTTAATTTCCTAAATTCCTACAAAAGAATTACAGTGCACTTCAAATTCTTCTAACCAAACAACCCCTTTGTTGTCGCTCTTCTCACTTGCTGAAGTATAATCTCTCTTAAGCTTGATCTGTGTTGGCTAGTAACACTTGATTTCATTCTGATTAATTTTAGCATTTTGATTATTCTTATTTGGTTTGTTGGAGCTTAGTGTTTTAAGATCACAATCATTAAGATGTAATTCATTTTGAATGTTCTACATGTTTTCATTTGTAGTTGACTAGCATGAATGGTGAACTTGTTTCAAAAGTCGCTATCTAGAAAACAAATGGCCTTCTACTAGAAATTAATGATTAAAAATAAATGATTTAAAAAGTTATGCACATATTTTAAAATGCATGTGCTTAATCTAAACCAGGTTATATTGAATTTAATTAAACAAAATCACTCTATCAAACCAAAAATGAAAAACATAGTCAAAGAATAAAAAAGGGATGGGAGAGGAAAAGAATAGGGAGAGAATTCACCAAAAAAGTAAGCCTTAAAAGCTTGTAGAAGATATACTCTCCCTAGAAATTCTTCAAACCTTTCACATGGTTAAGTAATAAATTCCAAAAGGTAGAACGAATTACGCATCCAAAAAGAACTTCTACTCAATCACCAATTGAATTTTTGTGCTATCCTCAAACCCACATTTATAATAAAAAAACCCAATATGAAATTCTCCTTGATCAAATGTAGATCGCATAACAAAGTCGCAGCACTAGACAACAAAAAGAGATGTTAAGAAAAAGCTATAAAACAGAGAACAACATTAGAAAGCGATAAAAGCAAGAAGCCTCAAAACTCATTCTCATATGGAAGCCTCGGAAGCTCTAGGGAAGTCACAAGCTCTACAGCAAAAGCCAAGCACCTAACGCTTTAAATAACTTATGTAAAGATATTATTAAAGGTGAAGAACAAAGAAGGACAAAACTATTTGCATTATTGGGTTCTCTTCTATATTTAATGTGATGATATGAAACAAGCTTCATGGTTTTTTTGCTATAAATGGCTAATGAAACATTCTTAGCAATTAATAGAATAATTTCAACAAAGCAAATGTTGTCCATATATTCAGTTAATGCCCTTGAATCCTCATTAAGCACATTCACAAAAAAAATGTGATAAAATATAGATCAAAGCTCCATAAAAGCTTACCCGGCACATAGGAAAAAGGCTGCATATTTGTTTCACCACCACTGCTTGTTTGTGCAGGAGTTCAGAGCTGATTGCCATCTACAACAAACATTTTCTGCAGTATTAGGAAAAAAACAAAAAACAACGCGCAAAATAGAAGACGTTAGATAGAGTTGAGAAAAAGAAAAAAGCAAATGTGGGTAGGGCTATCTGCACTCTAACAAGGGCAGAAAATTATGGTCCAAGAATAAGGCTTAATCTCATTATATGTTTAGCCAATGCAATAAGCTCGCCATACTTGAACTTCGCAGACTAACTCATGCAATAGATTTAAAAAGAGAAGCACATAACATGTAGTTTTAACTCTTAATATTGTAGCTTTACTTTATGAATTTGGTCTCATTTACTTATAAAACAAATGGAAAAAAATATTGATATTCAGAATTCTATTAAAAAACTTCTGGCCATCAACTCTTGAGGTAAGTCAGTATGTATTCACACAAACTTATAGAAAGAGAATATACTAAACTATTTTTAGAACCAATATTTAAAATGTAGTTCAAATATTACATTGATACCTATTAATATTCAATCTTTTTTTTTATTCAAATAAAGCTAACAGTTTTGCATAAAATCCTAACACTGAGGCTGAAAGCTGATTAGATACAATTTACAAAAGCTATATAAATTAAGATTTAAACCCTTCTAAAATTGAAAAGTACCTTAAGAGGAATTATTGTGAGTCCCTTCGCTGAAATGGGATGTTAATATGCTTTTTGAAAGTACATAACCTTCTTTATTCATCAATAAAGTATTAAAGCATTGTAGAAAAAGTCTTTCGAAGCAAGGTGCTAAATTACACTCTTCTTGATAGTTTCAAAAGTTTGGAATTGCAAAAGTTAAGTTTAATACTCTAATGGGATAACTAAGTCACTTCAAGTTCCTCTACTCATGAGAATAGAGGCTCAACCAAGATAAACTTAATCCCCAAATAAAAATACCTATGAGATTTCAAGGCATGACACCTTAAAAGCTGTGGCAGAAAGGTTAAGAAAACAATTCTTCAAGTTGTCCTATTGATAGCAACAACTAAAAATTAAGCTAAATAGCATATATGATGCCAAAAAAATTTAGGATCATTTACATACATAGCACACAATTCTAATGCACTTACATATTTAACACTTAAAATTTTGATATTTACACACATAGCACTAAAATCTTTAATACATCAAAAATAGCATTTTTACCACCTTTTAAAAGTCAAATACACCTTTTCATGCATGGTTTTAAAGAACCAAAAATGCTATGGATGTAAATATGAAACTTAAGGTGTGAGACATGTAAATACATAAGAACTGTGTGCTAGGTATGTAAATTTCCCAACAATTTAACCATAGAAATTGGGTGGACAAACTTTTGAACATATCTATAAATACTTCACAACAGATATAACAATCATAAGAAATCAATCAAGGAGGATTCATAAGGTTGTCGTCAAATGGTTAGGCTAAGGCCATGATGATAATAAAAACTAGAATTCAAAAACTAAAATAATGGGATCACTCACAAGCCTGAATTCATGAGTGCACTTCAGACTGTGAAAATTGTTCTCGAGATCAGCTCGACTTTGTTTCAACTGAAAACGGGATAACCAACATCAGAACAAGTAGATATTTGAAAAGAACAAGCAAACTCCAAAAGCAAACTTAGATGTAAACACAAATTGGTGCAAATGTTAAAACGTATACCCTTGAGAAAGCAGACTCCACGAACTCAGTTTTTTTCTTTAAATCTTCTGATTCTTTTGCAACCATTGTTCTTTCTAATGAGCCGACAAAATATTCAAAACCATTTAGACATGGAAAACAACACTGAGATAGCTCAACACCTGTCAAATTCGTTACCTAGACCAACCTTGCGAGAGCTGCTTCTGCATGCTCTGCAGTCGCTCCTTCAACTTTCTTATTCTTGCTTTTTGCTCGAGTCTCCAATTCAGTTGCTCTTCCATTTTTCTCTGGCCACCAAAAGAACATCATAGACGGATATATTAAGCCATTTAACAAAGAATCGAAAATCAACGAATGTATAAACTAACCTTTGCCTCCAGCGTCCTCTCCAGCCTCGCGTAAAGAGAGTTCCGCTTGCTCTGCTGAGATCTTAGGGAAGCGTAGCATTCGTTTAATCTTCATGAAAGAGATGAAATCAAACCATCAAACCACGCCGAAGCATCAGAGAAAATAGCGTGAGGAGGGCATGGATCAAGATATTGAGATTGGTTCACCTGTAATTGACGCAACCGGCGCAAAAGGAGGGGAGGTTTGAGTTCTCACATATGGCGCAGCTGCTTGGTTTCTTAGAAATCATTCTATCCATTGCAGGTTATCTATCTGGCATTCGATTCAGAGAGAGAGATATAGGGCTTTTAGTTGATCAAAAAGAAAGGATTGCGATTCCAAATCTAATCCCAAAAACAAATGATCAATGGAAAAAGGATCTGAGATTGGTATTCCGTCTGTGATTTCTCGGAGGATGAAGAAGGGTTTCGTCGAGCGATACCGTGGACGCTGGAGTTGGTCACGTGCGGCGCGGGTTCGGATGAATAAGGCCAACCCAGGTGATGCCTGCTTTAATTAAAGTTAACTAAACATGATTTTCTGGTTGAATGGTGCCGAATTTTCTCTGGCTACGTTCAATCAATTGATATATCTCAAAATGCACCAATATTCCCCACCTTCCTCTTATACATCGCCACGTGCCAAATTTTAGCAGCTCGTGTTCGGCTCATTCGTTAAGCCTAACAAGCCGAACATTAACAAATTTTTAAGCTCGAAATTTAAACGAGCCGAACATGAACAACAATTTGTTCGCTCGTGTTCAGCTCGAAATGATTCGAAAAAAAATTACAAAATTTTTTATATAATAATATATTCCATATATTATTTATATAATAATATATTATATATATTTATGT